CGAGCCTCTTGCTAAAAAAAAAAAAAAAAACCAAAAAAACAAAAAAAACAAGGAATGAAGGTGAGTGAGGATGTGAGAGAATAAGACTGAAGGGGCTCCATCTCACTCGGGGTGTAGGTCCACGTGGTGAGCAGGCTTCACTGGGGAGAGATGAAGAGGGTGATTGTGAGACGAATGTTGAGTCAGTCCTGACTTGATCCAAAGGCACGAAGCCACTCAAAATTTCATTTTTTTTTTTGGACAAGAGTATCACCTCAAAGAGATTTCAGGACACTGATTTTTTCACCCTGCCTATCATTTCTTTCTTTCTGTTGCCCAGGTGAGTGCCTGTGGCATCAGCCTAGCTCACAGCAGCCTCAAACTCCTGGGCTCAAGCATCCTTCTGCCTCAGCCTCCAAGGTACCTGGGACTATGCATGGCCACCATTCTGGCTAAATTTTTTCTACCTATATTTTAGTTGTCCAGCTATTCTTTCTATTTTTAGTAGAGACAGTTTTGCCTCTTGCTCAGGCTGGTCTCGAACTCTAAACTCAAATGATCACGCTGCCTCGCCTCCAGAGTACTAGGATTATAGGCATGACAGCCGCACCGGTATCTTAGATTTTTATATATGGTGTGAGGTAGGGTGTCTGACTTGTTTTGCATGTGGAATATCAGTTGTCCACCACTTGTTGATGAGACTATTATTTCCCCATTGTCTTCGTACCTTATAGAAATCATTAGCACAGGTGTATGGGATTATTTAACGAACTCTATTTCATAGGTCTGTAGGTACATCTAACGTTATGCAGTACCACATTGTTTTGATATATGTAGCTTGTAGTAAGTTTTGAAATCAAGAAATTTGGGGCCGGGCATGGTGGCTCACGCTGTAATCCTAGCACTCTGGGAGGCAAGGCGGGAAGATTGCTCAAGGTCAGGAGTTCGAACCAGCCTGAGCGAGACCTGTGTCTACAAAAATAGAAGAAATTAATTGACCAACTAAAAATATATATAACAAAAATTAGCCAGGCATGCACACATGGTGGCACATGCCTGTAGTTCCAGCTACTTGGGAGGCTGAGGCATAGGATCACTGAGCCCAGGAGATTGAGGTTGCTGTGAGCTAGGCTGATCCACAGCATCACTCTAACCTGGGCGAGAAGAATGTCTCAAAAAAAAAAAAATTGGGCTGGGTGCAATGGCTCACACATGTAAATCCTAGCACTCTGGAAGGCCAAGGCTGGAGATCGCTCAAGGTCAGGAGTTCTAAACCCCTGAGCAAGAGCAAGACTCCATCTCTACTGAAAATAGAAAGAAATTAATTGGCCAACTAAAATATATAGAAAAAAATTACTGGGCATAGTGGCGAGTGCCTGTAGTCCCAGCTACTCGGGAGGCCTGAGGCAGGAGGATCACCTGAGCCCAGGAGTTTGAGGTTGCTATGAGAAGGCTGACGCCACAGCAATCTAGCCCAAGCTACAGAGTGAGACTCTTGTCTCAAAAAAAAAAAAAAAAAAATTGGGTCCTCCAACTTTGTTCTATGTATCAGTACTATTTTGGATATTTAGGGATCTCGAAACTCATATGAATTTGAGGATTGGCTTTTCCATTTCTGCAAAAGTCATTGAATTTGGTAAGATTGCATTAAATATGTAGATTGCTTTAGGTGGTACTGGCATCTTCACAATATTATCTTCAATCCATGAAGACAAGATGTCTTTCCATTTGTTTAAGTCTGTTTAAATTTCTTTCAACAATGTTTGTAGTTTTCAGTGGTAAGTCTTACTTCCTTGGTTACATTTATTCCTAGATATTTTATTCTTTTTGAAGCTATCATAATAGAATTGTTTTCTTAATTTCTTTTCAGATTGTTTCATTGCTGGTGTCATTCTGGTTTTTATTGTTTTTCCTAATGACTAATGATGTTGAGCATCTTTTCATATGCTTATTAGCCATTCCTGTAAGTTTTGGTGAAGTGTGATCTTTCATTCTTCATTTCCACTTTGCATTTCATGAGTGGAACCACCCCCATCCCACCCCAGCTGTTTCTCAGATGTCTTTTTTCCTTCTTCCCTTTTTTTCTTTTTTTTTTTGAGACAGTGTCTAGCTTTGTTGTCCAGGCTAGAGTGAGTGCCAAGGCATCAGCCTAACTCACAGCAACCTCAAACTCCTGGGCTCAAGCAATCCTCCTGCCTCAGCCTCCCCAGTAGCTGGGACTACAAGCATGCACCACCATGCTGGCTAATTTTTTTTCTATATATTTTTAGTTGGCCAATTAATTTATTTCTATTTATAATAGAGAGGGTCTCGTCTTGCTCAGGCTGGTTTCGAACTCCTGACCTCAAGCAATCCGCCCGTCTCGGCCTCCCAGAGTGCTAGGATTACAGGCATGAACCACCTTGCCCGGCCTCCTTTTTTTTTTTTTTTGTTTTTTGTTTTTTTTTTTTTACAAGATTGATTCAAACTCCTTTTTTTTTTTTTTTTTAATTTTAATTTAATTTAATTTTATTTATTTTTTTGAGACAAAGTCTCACTCTGTTGCCCAGGCTAGAGTGAGTGCCATGGCATCAGCCTAGCTCACAGCAACCTCAAACTCCTGGGCTCAAAGGATCCTTCTGCCTCAGCCTCCCAAGTAGCTGGGACTACAGGTATGCGCCACCATTCCCAGCTAAATTTTTCTATATATATATTAGTTGGCCAATTAATTTCCTTCTATTTATAGTAGAGACGGGGTCTCGCTCTTGCTCAGGCTGGTTTTGAACTCCTGACCTTGAGCAATCCACCCACCTCGGCCTCCCAAGAGTGCTAGGATTACAGGCATGAGCCACGCATGAGCCCTCACCCTCACCCTAACCCTAACCCTCACCCTAACCCGGCCCCCTTCTTCTTCTTTACTTTGAAGAAGTACTTAACCAAATGGACAGGCAGCTCAGTGCAGGGGGCTGATGACATGAACACTGGAGCCAGGTGCCCAAGGTTTGTCTCACACTCTGCCACTTACTAGTTCTGTGACCCTGGGCACAGAAGTCACTTCTCTTTTCGTTTCTTCAATGTTAAAATAGGGTGTTTTGTTAAATAAACTTAAGTTTTTATTTTACTTGTTATATAAAATAAGTGCCTACAACAGCCAAGCCCTGAGATAGACCCTAGAATACAATATGGTTGTGAGCAAAGGAAACACAGTCCCTGTCCCAGTGGGCCTCCAGGCTAATGGACCACTTCAATGGATGTGAAATCCTAGTTGAGATAAGCACCTGAGGAAAGAGGCCACATGTGAGGGTCTGTGGCAGGGGAACTTGACCTAGCAAAGAGGAGGAAGACCATGCCAGCTAATGAGAACAACACGGAGGGCAGGGAGTGAGCACAGTTGAGGAAATAGGTGGAAATCGGTGTGAATGTAGCTCAGAGAAGGAAGGGGAGAGTGGCGGACAATGGAGCTGGAAAATCCAGCAGGGCAGACCTAGCTGAGCCTCAGAGGCCTTGCTGAGAACTTGAGATTTCATTTTGAAGAATATGGGAAGCCACTGAGGTATTTTAAGCAAGGTGGATGACACATTCAGATCCGTTTGTCAAAGAGGTCCTCTGGGCACAGTGTACTTTGAGAAGAGAGCCTGGGGCTCAGTCCTGAAGCACTGGAACACTTAGTGTCTAAGTGGAGGAGACTCAAAGAGAGCAGCAGGAGAGGCAGAAGAAAACCAGGGCTTTGTCCATCAAGACATGGAAGCGATGAGAGGGAGGATTTCAAGAACAGGTGATCACATACAAGCCGAATGCTGCTAATTAGTCAAGGAAGATGAAGACTGAAACATCCTACCAGATTCAGAGACAGGTGTCCCCTGGTTACATCCAAGGAGCCCCAAACACTGCTGCTTGCCCTCCAACCCCCATAGCCGCTGCCTCAGGACTCCCCCTCCCTTGTACCCGCTGCAGATCAGAGCGGGTCTTTCTCAGTAAGCTTCTTAGGAGGATTTCCTGGCAGCTCTCCTGGCCATCTGCATCCTGGGGCCAGGCCTGAGAGCACTAACAGCAAGAAAGGTGTGCATGGCAGCCAGAGGTCAGGCCTGTTCCACCAAGTCTGCCCCACCTGCCCAACCCACCTAACCCACCTGGCTGCTCGGCAGCGACAGCCTGGATGCCCACGTGAAGGCAGCTTCATGCCATGGTGCAGGGCTACTCTGGTCAGTCACCGATTCCTATCACAGCTCTACCACTGAAGATGAAAGGCACCTGAACAGCTGAAGCTGTCTCCCAATCTGTAAAACACGGATTAAATGTGACAATGAAGTAAGTATTAAGCATTCCACAAACAGTATTAACTATCATTGACTCATATTCCTTTATGCAACAATTGTTTTTATTATTCCAGGCAATGGCAATGTAGTACATTAAGTCCTCACTTAACAAGAGTTAAGTTCCTACAACATATTTCTGGTCACAAAAACATGAGCAACTTCTAAAGACCAAAATACTTCCAATATTAAACACTGAAATAAATGTGAGCTATAAATACATTCAAGAAAGATTCACTTTAAAAGGTAAGATAATTGCCTAATTTTTGGCAAATCAGTGACAGTGTGATAGTGGTCACACTGGTGGTAGGTTAAATCAAGGAATACAGGTTTGCAAAGCAAAAATTGTAAGGTGTTATACCACCACGTGGTTCAAAACCAAATGATCATAAATACGGTAGGCTTGCTGAGGGCTTTCCTACAGCATGGTTTATTGTCAAGCGTTTGTATGATTATTGGATACTTTATAAATTTTTATTTGACAATAATGTATTAATTCATATTTGACCCCGCTTACTCCAGTTCAGGGTCATGGGTGGCCAGAGCCCATCCTGGCAGCTCGGTGCAAGGTGGACACCAACCTGGACAGGATGCTGTTCCACTGCAAGGTGCACTCACACTACAACTCACGCAGACAGGCACCCTATAGATATGCTAATTTACCTAACACGCACAGCTTGGGGATATGTGAGGAAACCAGAGTACCTGGAGAAACCCATGCAGAACTTAGGAGAACGTGCAAACTCTCCACAAAGACTGTGGCCCCAGCTGGGAATTGATTTTTTTTCTCATCAACATTATAAGGAAATGACTTTGAATGAAATGTTATTTAAGTACCTGCTGTAGTCAACAAGGCAGACACATCCATGTCAATAAGGAGTGTGGACTGGGCACAGTGGCTCACACCTGTAATCCTAGCACTCTGGGAGGCCGAGGCGGGTGGATCGCTCAAGGTCAGGAGTTGGAGACCAGACTGAGCCAGACCCCGCCTCTACTAAAAATAGAAAGAAACTAATTGACCAACTAAAAATATATATACAAAAAAATTAGCCGGGCATGGTGGTGCATGCCTGTAGTCCCAGCTGCTAGGGAGGATGAGGCAGTAGGATCACTTGAGCCCAAGAGATTGAGGTTGCTGTGAGCTAGGCTGATGCCATGGCACTCACTCTAGCCTGGGCAACAAAGTGAGACTCTGTCTCACAAAAAAAAAAAAAAAAAAAAGGAGTGTGCAATCTAGTGGCAAACCCAACCAAGAAAAAATGTCATGCTTAGGTGAGAAAAGCACAAACCCACTGGCCAGAGGCTTCTGTGGGATGGGGAGACAAAAGTAGCATCCAATTCGGTCTTGGCAAGGAGGTGCCATTGGCAAGAGAAGGTTTGGTTTCTGCTTGTAAGAGGGTAAATAATTTGGTTGAGCAGGCAAGCATAGGAAAACAATGAAAAGAAAAATGCATGGAAACACCAGGCAACTGTCATGTTACTGGGTGTCACATTGGCCTTTTTGTTAAAAAAAAAAAAACCCTCCATTTATCAATCCTAGGTTCCAATATTCCCACCATAAAGAAGCCCAAAAGCCTGACCCCATGGCCACTGAAGCATAGGTTCTCTCTCCCTACTCTAAGGCACTGAACAGCCCATGACCCATGAAAGCTCATAGGGCTTTCAGAGGATCAAACCTGCCCACCCCCTCTCCCCCAACTCTCCACTCCCCCAAGGAACGAAGGAAAGGGCTGCCTAAGTGGAGGCCTGGGCTTCCTGCAGATTCTGCAGCAGCCTACTGGAGCTCCCCAGCTCCTCTCAGGCCCTCCCTCTTGGCTAGGCTGTTATAAATAGCTCCCAGGTTTCCAGCCTGGGATCTCCCAGCCCTGCAAAGAGCAAGCACCACCTCCTCACTCTTAATTGACCTCAGCCTGGAGCAGGAAAGGGTGGTGGCTGACAGAGGTGGACAGCGGGAAGCAGTGGGGGGGAGGGGGCCTGGCCTCTGTGGACTACATTACCCACAATCCTAGGTCAGTGCTCAGCCGTGAGGCTGCTGACCTGCAGCCCTAGGTGGTAAAACAAGGCAAGAGGCATCCTAGGCCATGGGTGTGTGGCCCAGGCCCTGAGACCCAGTTTTTTCCAAAAACCTAACTCCTGGAGCTTTGAAATCCTCTCCATGCACCCTATTCTCAGGCACTCAGCCGAACTGGGGCTGGGGAGACCCACAAAGCTCTTTAACTTCTGGCTTTATTTGCAGTCCCTGTGTGTGTGTTTTCATTGTACTGGAGACTGGAAGCCTGTGAGTGATTCTATTCTGGATCACACCCAGAGCCTGCCTCGCCCTAGAAGCCCCTTCTCTAGAATATTCAATATCCCACACTCAGCTCCAAGCTCTGAGGTTTTCTTTTCCTGCCTTACCTGAGACAGAACAATCACAGGCTCCCAGGTTGGTCCAGCTGGACACAGAGGGTCTTTCTTGTCTGCTCCCCAGCATAAAGCCTGGACTTTGATGTCAGCTGCGCTGCTGTAACACAGCTGTTCCGGCTGGGGCTGGGGGTTCAGGAACTGCTGCTGGTTCCACCTCTGCTGGGGTTGGCTCCCTCTCTTAGACCTTTTTCATGGCAGAGTAGGTAGGGTAGGCACATGGCTGAGCCAGGTTTAAGTCTCTGGAAGCCATGCCGGGAGGGCCTGTGGGAGCTTGCTGGTTCTTGCAGGGGTGGATAAACCAGAGCCGTCAGGCTGAGCAAGGGGCGGTGGGAGCAACCAGCAGACACTCGCCCCCATCCCCACTCGGTGTGTACACCTGTCCCGGCTGTGGCTCCACCCATCCCACTCCTCCAATTCTACCCCCCCCCAGTCAAACTACTCCAGTAGGGTTCTGGGGCTCATGAGCCTTCAGACCACATGGTGCCACAGCAGACGGACAGGCTGCGGCCCAGACCTAAAGTCAAAGACGCCTGTCCAAGGTGAAAAGGGACTGTGGAAGGCCTGAAAACAGGTCCTTTCCCCTCACCCGGATATTATATTAATAATAGCTATTATTTACTGAGGCGGTAACTAGGAATGCAAATACGGGTAAGCCCAAATGGCAGTCCCAATAAATAAACGAGGTCCGAAGCTGTTAAGCGCAGAGGTCTGTTGGTTTACGGGTGGGGGAGGGAGGGAAGGATTTCCAAAGGGCGGAAGTCGGAACCCAGGAAAGGATGGGAAGCGGTTCGTTCCAGCAGAATGGTTGGGAAGGACATTCTAGGCAGAGGGGACAGCTGGGCTAAAGGCAGGGAGGAGCGGGAAACAGCAAGGAGGGAGGGAGAGAAAAACAGAAGCGGTTAGGTGTTACGGAGGCCCAACTTGCCAAATGCCAGGGGAGGAGCGGCGAGGCGAGTTGCTGCAGGCTCGGCCCCGCGCCTGGGAGTCCGGCCTTCAGCCCTGGGCCGGGGGTCTCCGGCAAGGGCGCGCTGTGTTCGGGGTGGGGGCGAAAAGTAGGGCAACACGTGAAACCTGCGGAGGAGAGTGGGGCTCCCACGTCGGCCTCTCCCGGGTTTCCCTCCGCCTGGCCGGGCGGCGACCGGGCCCAGCCGCGCGTCCCCGGCCCCTCCCGCCCGCCGCCCCCTCCTTGGCAGCGGGTCCGCGGGACGCCGGTCCCGGGCGCGGGCGCACCCCGAGGGCCGGGCTCCCCGCCCGCGGGCCGCCCGCCAGGCGCGCCGGGAAGGAAGCGCCTTGTATGGGCCTCGGGCCGGGAGGAAGCGCCTTGTAGGGCGCGCGGAGGAAGCGCCATACATGGCGCGGGGCGGGCGGGGGCGTGCCGGGGGCGGGGCGCGCGCCCGCGATGGAGGCCGCTTCCGCCGCCGCGCCCGCGCCCGCGCCCCCTCGCTGTCCCGGCCGCGCGCCTCGCCCGCGGGGTTCCCGGGCCGCGCGCGACCCTGACGCCGGCCGAGCCCGGCGGGAGTCCCAGCTCGGCCGCGCGCTCGCTGTGTGACCTTGGGGTAACGCTGTCGTCTCTGAGCCTCGGGCCCTCTCCCCAGGGCGGTGGGGACGAAGCAGAGGATGTGGCCGAGGCGCCTCACGTTGTAGGCTGTGGGCAGAGGCGGTTTTCCCAGACTCCAGCTGTCTGTGTCCCTTTAGCCTCTTCCCAGCCACCCCGGCACGTGGGAAGCCTGAGCGAAAGGCGAAACGAGGAGCTGATGGCTTCGGAAGAGATCTTTCCAGAAGAAAATAGATTTCCTTTTCGGGGTTCAGACAGAGGGAGTTCTAATCCCAGCTTCTCCCCTCACCAGCTGGGTGATGCTGGGAAAGGAACTTACCTTCCCCAAACCTTCATGTCCTCCTCTGGTAGGTGAAACGGGGATAGTGGCTCCATCCGATGTGCAGGTTTGCTGTGATGATCAAATGAAACGGGCTGGGTGGGGGTGGGGACGGCGGGGGTGGGGGTGGGGACAGGGTGTAAAGTGCCTGGCATGGAGTAGGTGCTTCCTAATGTCAGTTCCTCAGTTCTCTGTTCTCCTCCCCAATTCACGGCTGGGGGACTTGAGCCCCTGGCCATTCTCCCTGGAAGCCCTGCTCCCTGGGGGAGACTGCTCCTCCTTTGCCACCTCTGGGTCCTTACTGCCAAGCTTTGCCGCCTTCACTGGAGGCATGCCTGTGGCCCTGCAACCCCCTTCTCTGTGCAGCCACCACCCCACTGACCTGCTGTCCCTGCTGCTGCTCTTCTCCGTCTCCCTCCGAGCATAGGTGACCTCCTGGACCAGCTGGCAAAGGCAAAAAGAACCTGGAGGAAGTTGAGGTTCCCATCACAGCCAGAAACTGGTATCTAGGACACCATCCCTGCCCACGCCCGCTGTCAGTACCACACCCACACATCTCACTGAGAGATAGGTATCAATCTCAGAGAAAGCATTTCCCAATCCTCTCTTGTTGGCCCTGCCCTCATCAGTCCTGCCTATCCCAGAGTCCCACTGAAATCTAACCTGAATCTTCCTGCCCTGTCCTGCTGAGCAGCAGTCAGCAGCCCCTAATAGGTTCCAGGCAAGTCTTTGGATACACAATAGATGCATGTCACCCACGGCCTCGTTTCCTTTTATCCCAGTTGGGCAAGGAGGCTGCCGTTGGCATGGTAACCTTCCCTGTAAAAGTTGCAGCCCTCAAGGATATTTTTCAGTTCCAGCAGGGACACAGCTCCTTCCCCCCACTGTAGACCACAGGGTGACACGTAGCTGTGTCATTCTGGCCTCCCCCAAAATGGACATTGAGCTGGAAGCCAACAAGGACTGGTTGGTGGAGGGCAGCAAAGGGCTTAAGGAAGATGCTAATTGGATCTCTGAGGAACAGGTTCCTTCTGCCCTGCGTGTTGATTCCCACCACCCAGAGAAACCAGTTCCCAGGCCCAGAATATTTGGGGACACTCTTGGGATTTTGTGTTGCATGATAAACACACTTCTTTACTAAAAAGCAAGCACCTGGCAAATGGCATGATGCCTAGTGCTTAATTCTGTAGAATAAGCTGATAAATCACAAAGCCTCCAGAATCCAGTGATTTCCTTTCTCTCCAGTCCCTCTGTGGAATAAATGAATACTTATGAACCATCACCCATGTTCCAGTTTCCCATACATTGTTTCAACTAACTCTCCCTGCAGTCCTGGGAGGGAAGTATTACAACACTCATTGTACAAATAGGGACGGTAGAATTTGGGCAAAGGTCTTTAGCAACTTGACCAACAGTCACATGGCCATGGAGTGGTAGCCCTGGGACCAGGACCTGAGTCTTCAGATCCCCAGTCGTGGACCTTTTGCCACCGTTCCTGTGTCCTTGTGTATTTGCCTCTGTGCTACTGATAAAGAAATGCTTCCCCCCAGGCCCAAGGCACTACCTTTTTAGGGCGTCCTCAGGAAGGAGAGGCGGCATCCGCATCTGCCTCTGGGCCCACGTGGGCCTGTGCAGCCCTCCTGGCACTGCGGCAGCCCCGGCATCCTCAATCCGGAGGCTTCTCCCTGCCAGCTGCCTTGTCTCCGTCATGGAGTTTCCCCGGCAGAGGGCAAGCTGAGGGAAAGCGGTTCCCAGCTGCCAGCTTCATCTAGGCAAAATCTCATTAGAGCCAGCCCTGGCTTCCCTCCTTCCCTCCAGAGGAGCACATTCAGCTCCCCCGCAAAAGGGAGGGGGAGAGAGACACACACAAAAAGGGGAACTTCCATTTCTTTCTCTCTGGCTGGCAAGCACTTGGCTTCACCCTGCCACTCATCCTGAAAGGTGGGGAGGATTCAAACTGATCTCTTGGGATTACTGGAGTCTCTAACATGAGCCCTAGGGCAGAGCTTTGTCCAGGAGCAGGAAAACCCTGGGTGTGAGTGTGGCAGGCAGGACAGAGAGGCAGGTCTCCGGGAGGAGGGAGACCCTGGATCTCCTCCTCTCCCCACGTGCTTTTCTCCAGGAGTCATTGTTCTTTCTGTGCATCCTCTGTCCAAAATGACACGAAGGATCATTTCCTTCTTCCAACTGGAACAGGGCTCAGGGAGAAAGCAATAGGAGGAGGGAACTATCGGTTGTGACCAGAAGTGAAACAGGGGGGAGTGTTCATAGTATTAACAGTTCACTTTTACTAACAGCATGTCAACCACTCTTCATTTATTATCTCATTTAATCCCCTCCCTCAGCTAAATCCTACTCTTATACGTGGTTTAGAGATGAAGAAAGTGAGGCTTATAGCTCCTCCATAACACTAACTCCCTATTAGTGGGAGTGGGCCTGGTTCTCTGTGGATATCACTTCATTTCATCCTCACAACAAACCAATAAAATGGATCCATTATGCCCATTTTCCGCAGGTGAAAACGAGGGTCAGAGAAGTAAGAAACTTGCCTGGGATCTCACCGAGTATGTGGCAGGGACAGGGATTAGAATTCAGATCTGGGTGATTCCAGAGCACGAGTGTTTGAACCTCTTTGCCTTGCTGCCTCCTGACTCACCAAGGCTTCTTCATTTCTCCAGGGCTCCTGCTGAGCGAGGCTGAGACCACAAACATCTGCCCACACCTCCCTCTCCCTGGCGCTCACCACACAGGTGGAGACCAGGCCAACGTTCACCTGGCTCAGTTCAGACTCACCCTCAGAGCATTTGCAGGGCCTGGGCAGAGGGGCCGGGGTAGTGGGGGACTCTGGCTGTCAACTGGCTGCTCCCTCTAATCTCTGACTCCCGAGGCAGAAGGAGACTTGAGAGGTCTCTACTGACCTTCCTAAGCCTTGAGATTCCCCTAAGAGATGCCAAGATGTCTAAATGGAACAGCCCTCGGGAGGCCTCCTGAAGTCTCAGGGGGATGCCTTTTGGAGAAGAGGATGGAGAGCCCAGTGGTTTTAATCAGGGAGACTGAGCATCGCACGCTTGGTCAACACTCACCTGTCGGCGAAGCCGTCAGCCGCTTGGCTCCCAGAGACATCCATGCTGTTCCAGGGCATGACTCTGTGGCTCCCACCCCCGCTGCAGGCCTGTGGGGGTGGGAAACACTTGAAATCCTGAGTCAGAGGAAAGGTTCCACTGCACTTTCCCTGGAACAGAAAGTCAAGGATTCAGCAGTCTGCATGGAGAGAAGGGAGAACTGGAAAGTGAGAAAGAACAGTGCTCGCTTCCTTCCCTTCCATCTCTTTTATTTTTAAAACATTTTATTCATGTATTTTTTTATTCTGCCATATGTGATGCATGTTCATTGCAGAAAATACATGCAATGGAAATAAGACTCATTACTGAGAGTGTTTCTTTTTTCTGTCCTCTTACCCATCCACAAGAGGTTTTTAGCTCACAAGCCATGCCAGTTCCCCAGCTTGGACAGTTTGGTCTTTGCCAGATCCAGTCCTGGAACTTTTGTAATGTGGAATTAGAATGAGGGGTGTGGGGCTGCTAGTTGGAGAGAGAACACGAGATACAGAGCCTGAGAGGCAGGGAGAAGGAAGGCCCAGTGCAGAAAGGCTAATTGCTCTGTGTAATAAAGAACTAGGTACAGTTGTGAAGAGCTGGGTAAAAAAAAAATAAAAAAATAAAAAAAAAAAATAAGAACTAGGAAGGAGAAGGGAGAAGGGAAAGACAGGGGTTGGAAAGGAAAAGTAGGAGGAATGTTTTATAAAGTACAGTATTGACATGGGGCATTAAGTAGATACCCTGTAATTCCCCAAGTAGAGATTGGAATAATTTTTTGTTTTTTGGCTCCAGGATCGTAATTCTTTATTTGCAACTGCATGGAGAGCCTTGACCATATAGATACCCAGAATTTATTAGGCTTCCATACAGGAAAGTACAAAAATATTATTTGAGAAATGAAAGAAGAGAGTCAAGTATTTATCATGCTTTTTTTCCTACAATTATGATTTAATCTTGAAAAATTCTGGCTAATAAATGTAAATGGAAGGATAGAATTATAAAATCATCATTTTGCAACCTCTAATGAGATAATGGATTTAGGCAAGAATCATCAATCATCGAGGATTCCTATAGCCATTGGATGAAAGATAAAGAGGAACTTTGTAATGCCAATGATACTTGAACCTGTCAATCAATCTTGTTTGTCTTGTTTTTTAATAGACAAGATCTTGCTATGTTGCCCAGAGTGGAGAGTGCAGTGGCTAGTCACAAGTGTAATCATAGTGTGCTGCAGCCTCCAGCTCCTGGGCTCAAAGGATCCTCCTGCCTCAGCTTCCCAAGTAACTGGGACTACAGGCATGTGCCACCATGCCCAGCTAATTTTTTTTTTCTATAGAGATGAGGTCTCACTATGTTCCCCAGGCTGATCTTAAACTGGCCTCAAGGGATCTTCCCACCCCAGCTTCCCAAAGTACTGGGATTACAGGTGTGAGTCTGTAATCCCAGCCTAATAAATTAATTTTAACATCACAAAAAGAGAGACATTAGCCGGGCATGGTGGCGCATGCCTGTAGTCCCAGCTACTTGGGAGGCTGAGGCAGGAGGATTGCTTGAGCCCAGGAGTTTGGGATTGCTGTGAGCTAGGCTGACGCCATGGCACTCACTCTAGCCTGGGCAACAAAGCGAGACTCTGTCTCAAAAAAAAAAAAAAAAAAAGAGAGACAACTACCCAAGAGAATTGAAAACATATGTTCACACAGCATATGTATAATAAAGCATATGTTCATAGCAGCAACATTATTCATAAAAGCCAAAAAATAAAAATAATCCAAATATCTATCAATTGATGAATGGATAAACAATATGTGGTATATCCATATAATAGAACATTATTAAGCCATAAAAAGGAATGAAATACTAACACATGCTACAACATGGATGAATCTTAGACACATGCTAAGTGGGCCGGGTGCAGTGGTTCACTCCTGTTATCCTAGCACTTTGGGAGGCCGAGGCAGAAGGATCACTGGAGGCCAGGAGTTTGAGACCAGCCTTGGCAACATAGTGAGACCTCTGTCTCCACAAAAAACAAAAAAATTAGCCGAGTGTGGTGTGCACCTGTAGTCCGAGCTATTCTAAGGCAAGAGAATGGCTTGAGCCTAGGAGTTTGAGGTTACAGTGAGCTATGATGACACCACTGCACTCTAGCTTGAGAGACAAAGTGAGACCCTGTCTCTGAAAACAAAAAGAACAAGAAAACATGCTAAATGAATGGAGCCAGACATAAAAGGCCACATATTGCATAATTCTATTGATATGAAATCTCCAGAATAGGCAAATTCATAGAAACAGAAAGTAGATTAGTGGTTGTCACTTGATGGGGGAAAGTAAGGAATGGACAGTGACTGTTAACAGGTACAGGATTGATTTTTGGGGTGTGTTTCTGGAATTAGTAGCAGTGTTTGCACAATATTGCAAATATACTAAAATTCATTGAATTATACACTTTAAAATGAATTTTATGTTATGTGAATTATATTTCAGTTTTTCAAAAATCATACCTAGGGGCCGAGCGGTGGCTCACGCCTGTAATCCTAGCACTCTGGGAGGCCAAGGCGGGAGGATCACTCAAGGTCAGAAGTTTGAAACCAGCCTGATTGCTTCTTGGCCTTTTGGCTAAGATCAAGTGAAACCAGCCTGAGCAAGAGCGAGACTCCGTCTCTGCTAAAAATAGAAAGAAATTAGCCAGACAACTAAAAATATATAGAAAAAATTAGCTGGGCATGGTGGTGCATGTCTGTAGTCCCAGCTACTCGGAGGCTGAGGCAGGAGGATCGCTTGAGCTCAGGAGTTTGAGGTTGCTGTGAGCTAGGCTTAGGCTACGGCACTCTAGCCTGGGCAACAGAGTGAGACTCTGTCTCAAAAAAAAAATAAATAAATAAATAGCATTCATAAAATCTGAAGTGATCCACTAACTCATTGTTATTATTGTAATAACTAGATAAGAAGTAGAGTGAGGGCAGGAAGCAGTGCAGCCTTTCAAACACCCATAAATCATAAATTAGATCGAACTATGTGGTCTGCCCACTCACTAATGGCACCTTAGTTCCTGTTGCCTCCAGGAAAAAGTACAACCCATTGGGCTGTCACTGAGGTCTTTCCAAATCTGACCCCAACCTGCCTTTCCAGCCACATTCCCTGCCCCTCCTTTGTTGTTTCCTGGCCACGCCACCACTAATTCGCTGGTTCCTGAACACATTGGCCTTTCACACCTCCTCCTTGCCTTGGCTCTTGCCATTCCCTCTGCCTGCAGGTCCTCCCGTGAACTCCCAATCTTCCTTCTATGCCCTGTTCCTACATCTCTCCCTGTTGATAGAATTAGTCACTCCTTGCTCTGTGCACACCTCTAATATGTCATATCCTATGGTAATTATTTCTTTCTTTTTTTTTTTTTTTAGACAGAGTCTCGCTTTGTTGCACAGGCTAGAGTGAGTGCCGTGGCGTCAGCCTAGCTCACAGCAACCTCAAACTCCTGGGCTCAAGCAATCCTGCTGCCTCAGCCTCCCGAGTAGCTGGGACTACAGGCATGCGCCACCATGCCCGGCTAATTTTATATATATATTAGTTGGCCAATTAATTTCTTTCTATTTATAGTAGAGACGGGGTCTCGCTCTTGCTCAGGCTGGTTTCGAACTCATGACCTCGAGCAATCCGCCCGCCTCAGCCTCCCAGAGTGCTAGGATTACAGGCGTGAGCCACTGCGCCCGGCTTGGTAATTATTTATTTCTACATCTTCACCACCCATTTCTGTGCTGCCCCAGACTCCATCCTGTTCATCTTTATGCACTCAGGGGCCTGACATAAAAGTAGGTATTTGTTAAAAAAATTTTTTGAGACATTTTGACTGAGTGACTAAAGGAGCCACCTAGACTGGATGGCCCAGTACTGAGTGTGGCCCCAAGAAAGTTACCCAGGCTTGGGTCTTCCATCCAAGAAGTGTCCACGAAATTGGAGAACAGCACAACAAACAGTCTGACCCCAGAATGACTGGCAAGACTACCTGGCTAACACGAACTCAGTAATAAAGCAGAAGAATGAAATTTAAGAGGAAAGCTTTGAGCCTTCTGCTGTGTGTGAGTTGTGTACTGGAAATGGAGAAGGAAAGAGAATTCAGTGATGGGGCACGGTTTCACACGTTCCCTGAGAAGTAGCAGAGGGAGCTTGACAAATTAATAAAATAACAACCTTCCCAATTCTTTGAAAACCTACAGCCCCAAAATTTAGAAGCCGGCAGCAGCTATCTGGTGCTTCTAATCCTGCCAGTCCCTAACAGACCGTCCACCTACAAGAATACTAAACAGCCAACTTCCTCCCATCCAGAAAAGAATCTAGAGACCTGAGTCTCTAGGAAATCTTTCCCTTCTTTATTTTTTTACACTCTTCTTTCACAGCTTATTGTTGATGGGGCAGATTTCTGTAGGGAGAGAAAATATTCCACCGGAAGACCTACATAAAGACTCCTACATTACACCAGATTCTAGAAAATAATTATTTGCTTATTTAGTCTTTTATTTATTTGTTTAGAGACAGAGTCTCACTTTTTTGCCCAGGCTAGATTGAGTGCCATGGTATCAGCCTAGCTCACAGCAACTCCTGGGCTCAAGCGATCCTCCTGCCTCAGCCTCCCGAGTAGCTGGAACTATAGGCATGCGCCACCATGCCCAGCTAATTTTTTCTATATATGTTAGTTGACCAATTAATTTCTTTCTATGTATAGTAGAGACGGGGTCTCCCTCTTGCTCAGGCTGATTTCGAACTCCTGACCTTGAGCAATCCGCCCGCCTCGGCCTCCCAGGGTGCTAAGATTACAGGTGTGAGCCACGGCGCCAGGCCACTTATTTAGTCTTATTTTTTAATTTTTCTTTCTCAAATAGAATGATTTTCTTCTAACGACAAAAACACCTGCTCATTTGGAAAATATAGAAAAGTATAAAAAATAAAATAAAAATTACCCATAATCTCACTACCTAGAAATAATAATAACAACCATTATCATTTGATGTATATATGTGCATGTATTTTATAAAATTGAGATCATGTTGTGTAAAGTTTGATATATTACTTTTATTACTTAGTATTATATTGTGAGGTTTTGGTTTTTTTTTCTTTTGAGACAGTCTCACTCCACTGCCCAGGTTGAGTGCTGTGGCCTCTCCCTAGCTAGCTCACAGCAACTTCAAACTCCTGGGCTCAAGCAATCCTCCTGCCTCAGCCTCCCAAATAGCTGGGACTACAGGTGGGCGCACCACAATGCCTAGCTAATTTTTTATATTTTTAGTAAAGACAGAGGCTCACTCTTGCTAAGGCTGTTCTTGCTCAAACTCCTGAGCTCAAGCAATCCTCCCACATTGGCCTCCCAGAGTGCTGGGATTACAGGCTTGAGCCACCATGCCCGGCCTTATTATAAACATTTTTCATGTCAATAATTATTTCAAGCCAGGCGTGGTGGCTCACATCTGTAATCCTAGCACTTTGGGATGCCAAGGCGGGAGGATAGCTCAAGGTCAGGAGTTTGAAACCAGCCTGAGCGAGACCCCATCTCTACTAAAAATAGAAAGAAATTAATTGACCAACTAAAAATATATATACAAAAAATGAGCAGGGCATGGTGGCGCACACCTGTAGTCCCAGCTACTCAGGAAGCTGAGGCAGGAGGATCACTTGAGCCCAGGAGTTTGAGGTTGCTGTGAGCAAAGCTGATACCACGGCACCCACTCTAGCCTGGGCAACAAAGTGAGACTCTGTCTCAAAATAATAATTATTATTTCAGAACATGGGCTGTGCATGGCAGCTCACACCTGCCAAGTAATCCCAGGTACTTGGGAGGCTGAGGCAGGAGGATTGCCTGAAACCAGGAGGTTGCTGTGAGCTCAGCTGACACCATGGCAGTCTAGCCCGTGGGACAGAGTGAGACTGTCTCAAAATAATAATAATAATTATTATTATTTCATAACATGATTTATAATGACTGCTTAGTAATCAATTGTATGATATAACAATTTATTTCATTCATCACCCATTGGACATTTATGCTGCTGCCATTTTTTCCCCATTACAAATAGTAATGTGATTAACAGAAGTCCTGGCAGAACTGCTAGGAGAGAGGGCATGAACTTTTACAAGGATCGTGGTTCATGCTTGTTGAATTGCCCTCGGGAAAGCTGGCCCCGATTCATCCTCCCTGCATCAGCATATGAGAGTTCCATGTGTCAAAGTGCTTTCTCTTCTTTCAATATGTGTGGAAAAGGTAAGATGCTTTTATATTTTTCAC